AGCTGGAAGTTCAAAAGAAGCTCAAAAGATCAGCAAATTTCAGTGGGAAGCATAAAAGCACGGCATAAACCTTCCAACTTAATGGAAAAGGGGAGCAAGGAGGTAAATATGGGTTGGGTTTGGAATTGGTTATGGTGAGGAAAGGTATGGAGTTGATATTCAGAATAGCACAGAAGCTCAGGATGGGTGATATTATTTGCCATGTTACCTAGAAGATAAACAAAGTTGAGTTGGCTGCTCCATGGGGTTATGGTGTTTAAGAATTTTTATTTTCAGATTTTGAAAGGTTCCATCCAAGCAGACACCCTTTAAATATAGCTGAATTTGTCTTTGTGATACACTTTAAAGTCGTGAGAGAATTTGAATGGAAATTGTTAAATTATGGAGTAAAAAGTCTCTCTGTGAAGTTTGTATAACAACATATTTGTATCTTCTTTGGGAAGTCTTGAAAGATGAAGCTGAGCAAGGTGGGATATAAGGAAGGCCTTGGGTATCAGCAGGATAAACAAGGAAAGGGGGAGCCAAATGCTAGAATGTTGTCAGGAAAGCACTGCCATACCTAAGCATCACAGGAGTGAAGTGAACCATTGGACCACATCATTCAAGTCCAAAACCCATAAGTATTAGTAAAATAAATCCTGTTTAATAAGATGATAACCAAGGCCATATAGTAAGACTGAATAATAATCATCATCAAGGCCAAAATATTAGTATAATAATAATAGTAACATCTTTGCCATGAATGGCTTAAATAATGTGTGTCGCCCAGCCTGATTATTTTCCTGTGTTGTCTTATTTCATTTAGTGCGTTTAAATTATGGAAAAGTGATCTAAAAGGCCATACACCATGAGTAAACTAAAATCTTGTGTCATTAATACACTTTACAGGGATTTGAAATAGGATTTAGTGTGAGAAACAGACCCAGAGCTAAGATCCCTTGTTCTACAGAGTGGAAAAAATTTTTCTTTAAAAAGTTATGATGTGAAGCATCCTGTGATGTGGTCACCTTGTTGTTTCATATAAATATGGATAATTATGGATATACTCACACACATATAGATAAGACCTCTCTATAAAATATGTAAGTAAAGAACATTATCCTGTAGAAATGGAAAAGCCAGAGCAAAGGGCAGCTGAAGCAAAACGTGGATTTGAGAATATCCGTGTATTCAAAAGGTGGGAGCGAGACAGGTCTGCAGCTTTGGAAAGAGATTAAGAGGAGCCTTCTTTTAATGGGCAGGATTGATTCTGCAGGGATGTTTGAGCCTGTGTCAAACACGAGGCATGGGGGCAAGAACTCGAGCTGGAGGAGAGGCCAAGCACCATAGGAACGCGGCCACAATCTGAACAGTGATAAAACAGGAATTTTTATTGTTACATGCAAAATTCAGCTCACGTTATTAGCAAGCCTTAGCTTGGCTGAGGGGTTTTAGAGTTCATTGTTCTCATTTTCATGGCTACCTTCAAACTTTGGAAAAGTAACATTCAGTTGATGCTGCTGAGCTGCACCACCAAACTTTTAGCACCCAAAATTAAAAGCTGAGTTGGAAATGTGAAGCAGATCAGAAGCCCGGGGAGGCAGGAGTTGGCTGTGGAAAGGGAGCTTTGATGTCCCTAATGCCCACTGTTTAATGCCGAGGAGTTTGCTTTTAAATGCCAATGCACAGCATGGAGGCCTGGCCCTCCCATGGTGCCACAGAGGGTGCGTTGGGTGGCAGCGGGGAAGGAAAGGAGGAATCTTCCATCCTGCCAGCACAAAGTTGACAGGGACGAAGGCTTCTGGAGATCTTTTTTAAGAAATTGTGCAGCAAAGTGTGCAAACCCGAAGCCACTGTGCTGTGTGTGCGGGTGTGCAAGGGAAAGTTAGCAGTCAGTCAGGTTTTATCTCTTAATGAATAGAGACTGCTGAAGTAAGGGTTAGGTAATTGAGTTTATAATTAATTAGCCATAACCCTCATCAGATAAAGCAGTTGTCGAGATTTTTTTTTATCTCCTTTCTCTCCCCAGGGCCTGCCCTTCTTTGTCCTTGCGCTGACAGCCAGCACTTATCTCAGGCCTTCTCCATGCCGTGCCCATCAGCCCCTCCTCCCCTGGGCCGGGCTTTGGTGGTCAGCCGGGCCCCGTATTGTCCTGCCAGGATCGCAATCAGCCTGGCTGTCTTGGCGGGATGATGAATTAGCAGTAGGAGTTAACGTGTAGGTGAGCTCCAGATCCGAGTCCCGATAGCTCCCGCCCGGCCTCTGTGTGTTCTGTGTCACCCTACCCGGCGCTGATCCGCCACTGACACTTTGCAACAAAGAGGTTAAAAAGGTGGATTTAGCAAAAGAAATGGGGCATTTCTTCACAAAGTTGGGATGCTGACAAAGGACCTTTAATTTCTTCTGCCGTTCACCTCGACAATACCAGGAAAATAAATTAGATTTTGCTCTGTTTTCTTTTGGTGGCCTTATCACCCTTATGTTGTGGGGTGAACTGTTTGCTTGAGGTAGAGGAGAAACTTGAGCCACATATCTTAAAAGCATCAGGATTGTAAAAGGTGTCGAGCCCCTGCCCATGGAGGCAGATGAAGGGAACTCGGATGTTAAATTTATCCTCCTTTAACAGATTCATCAGAGGGAGCAGCTTTCTTGCTGTGTTTACAGTGGGCTCACGGCTCTGGGCTGGGTTTGTAGACAGGTTTACCTGCCAGAGGAGAACAAGGCTCAGGAAGACGTCTGTGTGTTTTCCCTTCATCTGGAGGTTTTGGAGATGAGGACTCCTGCATCTTAGAGCATTGACTCCAGGCTTGGAATGAGCACTGGTTCTCATTAATCTGAGTGCCAGCACTAGGAAATGCAACTCAAGTCTCTCAACGCAAGAAAAGCTTGATTCTTTTTGAAAATACATAAAGCATTATTCTTCTGTGGTCTCTGTAATAGACTGGTAAAGTTTTCCTCTTTCTTTGGCATTTTGGCAGCAATATACATTTTTAGTTTGACTACAATGCTTTTGGGATTCAAGCTTCCGTGGGCACACCTACCCCTTTCTAGGATCTTCCTGGAAGTTGAATTAGTAGCATATGAGTTAAGCTCCATTTAAGATGGCACAGTGTAACTGCATAAAAGACATTGCTGATGGCAGATTGGAGCTATTCCAGTTTGGAATAACAGCTTGGTTGTCCTGGTGGGTCGTAGAGCCCTGCAGCTGCTGAGGCTGTGATGGTTGTGGTTTGTGAAGCCCCTCAGTTGTGCAGGATGTGCACCTCATCCCAGGAAAGCAAATTCTTATGTACCTCACTGCTAATTGGTAGGAAATGTGGAGGAAGTGAGTCTGTGACACGTTTTGAGACAGGAGAAATTCCATTTGGAGATGCAGAAACATGTTATTTTCCACCAGATTCAAATATTGGAGCAAGTGTCTAAAGGGGCTGTGAAATCTCCACTTTTGGAGGTGGCTCCAAGGGGACATGGAGCTCCTCAGACTTTCGGATTTGGATCTTGCCACTGGTGGTGAACCAGAGGGAGCAAAGAGCCTTCTTGTCTCACAAAGACACACTCAGTTGTGTGCTTTGTAAGTGAGAGAAACCAAACATGAATACATTGGAAGGAAAGAAGATAATTATCATCCCTGATGTAGGAACTGCGCCAAAGTGTTTTCTAGGCTGAGGATGTATATTGCAAATGAACATCAGCCTTGGATGGTGTTACCTCATGCAGAAGGGTAACTAAATGCACATTATTTTTAATTCTGGGAAACAGTAGAGGGAAAAAGCTTTTGCTCTGAATTTGCCTCTGAAATGTAAGAGATAGGGCAGTTTTATCCCTGAACAATTTTTTTTTTAAATCAAAGCTGGCAGTGTCTTCTCGACATGTATGGATTAATAGGATGGATTCAGCTGGGTTGGTCTTGTGTTTACATGTTTGGTTTTAGAATAGAAGAAAATTCTTCTTGTTGAGTTGTCGCTGGATTTCTTATTTAATCACCAGTTTATTGCAAATAGAGATATAAAAAACTATCAGTTATATAGAGACTAGTAAATACATGTTAATGTAGTTTAGTTTCAAGTTTTTCTTTTGAAATGCACCTTGGTTTTTCTTAGTGCTCATTTTGCTATAGGTATTAGGAAAAACTTGGTACAGTAAATGAACTCAGTTGCAGGCTTTTTAATTGCTTTTGGTAAAGGAAATTATGTGCTTTATACCTAAAGGAGTGTTTAAATCAGGTTTTAGGTGTGATCTTTAAGTGTTGAGATCTTCAGAAGCAAGTGGAGTATGTTATAGGACTAGTTAAGAAATGTCCATATTTAAATCAATACTAAGATTTACTGATGCTAAATAGAGAATTAAGAAGGAAAGAGATCAATACTATTTTGAAGGCTTTCAAAACTTAGGAGATAGGCCCACAGACTGGGATAAGGGTAGAGAGAGATCCTTCAGCATATGGTCCCTTTCCCAGGGATTCAGTCCTGCAGGAACTGCTCCAGTATGGGTCCCTTTATCCATGGGGTCTGTCCTGCAGGAACTGCTCCAGTGTGGGTCCCTTTATCCATGGGCCACACATCCTCCCAGGACCCTGCTCCAGCACAAGCTTCCCACGGGCCCAGAGGTTCCTTTGGGCATCTCCCAGCTCTGGTGTGGGGTGTTCTGTGAGATTCAGGTAGATCTCAGCCCCACCGTGGACCCCCACGTGCTTCAGGGCACAGCTGCTTCGCCCTGGGCTCCACCACAGGTGGTGGAAGCAGAAAAGGCTTGAGATGGGTGTTGTGACCTCATTTTCTTTGCCGTTTTAACACTAGGGTTTTCCTGGGATGTTCTGTATCATCTTTTGAAGTCTGTGAAGATGGGATGTAGGAGACTGTTTCTGAAAGGCTGGGCAAGAGTTATTAGTGCAAGTAGAGTTGGAATGAAGGAGCTGGACTCGATGGTCCTTGTGGGTCTCTTCCAGCTTAAAATATTCTGTGATTCTGTGACTCCCTGCATTTAGGGATTTGAGGGCTTTTGAGGTGTTTAGACTTGCAGAGGAGCAGTGAGAAGAGAGTGAAACCTTCCCTTTCAGGCAGCCTGGGTAAATTTGCAGGGTTAATTTCAATTATGATGTATTTGAAAATGTGTCCTGCTTGTAGGGAACAAAGAGATTGGGCTTTTTCCCTGGAAGGTGTTCTGTGATTCCCTGGGCCATGCCTGTGCTTTTTTCCCCCCACTCCAGTGGTTTCAGAGCAGGGATTGATGGGCCCCTCTTCGTTAACAAGTTTGCTGAATTGATTTTATCATTACTTTTTGTCGCTTTCCTAGAACTAACATGGAAATGACAAAAAAAAAAGTCCGACTGACAACACCCGAGCATGGCGTGTTAAAGTTGGTAGGACCTGGGATCATCAGCAGCCATAATTGACAAATAATACCCCTCATAAATACTGCCAGTCTTTTCAATTAGTTTTCATCTCAAATTCGGGATGCAAAATGATGGCCTGTCAAGTGACAATGGATGACAAAAATTAATAAATTGTCTTCTAAATAGTATGGACACTTAAGAAAAATTGGGCAGCCAATTTAGCACAGCATGAACCGGGGGGAACCTTTTGTACTGTTGCCGTGCCACTAATGTTGTCTGGGTCTTTATTAATGGTGCTTGGCTGCTGCTGACAGTTTTGTTGCTACTGGCAACTTTCTTCATTAAAATTAAAGCCAGCGTCAAATCCCATTAGCCGCACTCTGGGTACCTTGCATTTTTATTTATATATATATATATATATATAATTTTTAAAATTTTTTTTTGTCTTTACAAACACATTTTTTATCTATAGGAATTTGGAAAAGGTGGTTAAAAATTAGTCTTTCATCTTGTCCACGGCTGATCACGTAATAAATAATGGATTATATTGGGGGCTTTTTGAGGGAGATTGTCTCCAACATTTTATGCCTTGCCTAGTCTACAGCCAAGTAACTGCAAAGAGAAATCCATAAATGAGCTGTATAAATTACCTTTTCTGAACATGGTGTTCTTCTGTGTTGCCTGCAAGCCACTTGGATCTGGGATACTCTCTCATAAAACAGTTGTAGCCTCTGGAGCAGCTTCTGTTCTTCTTGTCTCTCCCTCTAAAATATTAATGAGGTTAAAACTGAGGGATCAACATGTGTGCAAGACCACTCTTAAAAGGAAGATAAAGTGTGTATCTTTACATGATTCTGGGAAGGAACAAATATGTTTGTTTGTGGAAACATCTTAAAAGTTTCTGCTTTAACAGCTTATGGATTGACTCCTTAAGCTGAAGGAGGGCAGAGTTAGATGGTAATATTGGGCAGGAATTGTTCCCTGTGAGGGTGCTGAGGCCCTGGCACAGGGTGCCCAGAGAAGCTGTGGCTGTCCCTGGATCCCTGGAAGCGTCCCAGGCCATGTTGGACACTGGGGCTTGGAGCAACCTGGGATGGTGGAAGGTGTCCCTGCCCATGGCAGGGGTGGCACTGGATGATCTTTAAGCTCCCTTCAATCCAAACTATTCTGAGATTCTGTGACTCCTTTTAATGTCTTAATAAATAGAGGAGTAAGTCTTAAACAGCACATAATAACAACTCTTGCCATATCTGCTGTCACTGCTGAGTATTCTAAAACATTCAGAAGCTGAGTGATCAGTGCATTAAATTCCCAGGGCAGTCTCTCTTCTGCCTTACAGATCACACATGAAGAAATTCCAGGCTTTGCAGGGAGAAATGTGGGGAAATCAGGGAAAAATTTCTTCCAGAAACATTTCTGAGATGTCCTTCCAGGAAAGCTCAGAATGGAACATGGTCTTTCACTCTTCCTGGTGCATCACACTTTGCCACTGCATTAGATCTCAGCTTTTTCTAGGAGTAGATATTTATTTCCAGGAGTATTTAGTCACTGCTACCTTCGTTACACCATCTTGTTAATTGTACTGCTCTGGGCTTGGGGGCCAGACCTCCCTGGCTGGTGTCACACTGTGTTCCTGACATCATTTGGGTACAAGCCAGTGATCCAAAAATGTGTCATCTGCCTCCTGATTCTCAAGGCTTCTGATGATGGAAATGCCTCATGAAGTGCAAAATCTGGCTTGGGTTTACATCTCTTGGAAGGGTTGGAAGTAGTTGGTGTTTAAGGTCCCTTCCACCCCAAAGCATTCCAGCATTCTGCATCTCTCTTGTGGGGATTGGACAGAGAGAGGTAGAACAAAGCCTTCTGATGATAGCTTGATTTTGCTGTTGTCACCATAGAAATGCCTTTGGTTCAGGAATTGGGACAGTTGGGCTTCTGTCCCAAGGGTAGCACCATGAAACTACAGACAAAACCAGGCTGAAGGCAGTGCCAGTGTGTTCCTTGCAGGAAACAAGAAGTGCTGAATCCAAAACTCCATTTAAACATTCACTGTAATAGCTGTGTTGGGAATGATCTCGTATGGTAAGTGAGAAACAATTAACAGTTCAAATGGTCTTTTAAACTGGTGCGCTTTTGCAGCAATTTTTGGGCTGAAAGATGTGCTCAAATCTGGATTTCAATTCAGCTGAAATGTGGGTTGAGTGACCCTATCATTCACAAGAATGGATACTTGATAGAAATGAAATAAACTGGTGACATCAAATTAGCATCCATCTAATAAATCCAAGCTGTGCTTTTAGCTCTTCTGCTAAATCTTCTTGATTTAAAAAAATAAATAAATAAAGGTGTCAGTAGTTAATTGTTGACCGAAGCTTAATATCTGTTGAAGCAAATGAGCCATGAAATATACTACACAGGAAGTATGGTATCTGGAGTGATTTTAACATTAAAGCAATATTACAATTTTTAACTTGCTGACACAATATGCAGAATCCTTTATTTCGAAATTGCCCTGATTAATGCTGAGCTCAGGAAGTGGAGGAGAGGAGGAGTGAGTGGTGTATATAAAGAACGCAGGCCAAGACAAAACCAACCTTTTCTTCTCAGAAGAAGAATATTAAGTAACAATAAACAAATGTTGGGGTGTCTCAGGTTATTACTTGAGGAATCCTAATAATAATCTTACCAAAAGCATTGATTTATAATTTCTCAAAGTTCCTTCAGATGAGTAGCACTGGCAATGTCTCATGTTTTGTTAACACTTATTTCTAGAACAACTATTATAGTAAAAATGGGTGAGTTCTACTTTTGTGACAGCAGTAACTTTGCCTTTTTTCTGTAACAATTTAAGAACACGGTGAAAAAAACTGTACTTGAAAGTTGTCTTTAAGCTGTACCCTTAAATCCTGGGAAGTGGCCTTGGATAGGTTTTCCCTGGGTTCAGGGAGATGGAGTTGTGGAGATGCCTTGGTGTAAAAGAATCAACAAATTACAGAATATTCTGAGCTGGAAGGGACCCATGAGGATCATTCAGTCCAAATCCTGACCCTGCACAGGCACCCCAACAAGCTGAGGTGGTGTGGGGAGGTGGCTTTTGAGCAAAATTTTACACCCTTTTAGATGTCTTCTCTCAGTGAGACCCAAGTCATGGTCCTTGGCCAAGACTGGAAGGTTTTTGAGTGAATTATCTGCACATTTTTATGTATTCCCAGCTGACGCCAAAATGATTTTGTTTTCAGATGGTAAAGTGCGGATTGATTCATTAGGAATAAAGAGCAGACAATTGTGTATGTTGTGGAAAGGGTTCTTTAAAAAGATGTGTCTCTGCTGCACCAGTAGATAAATCATCATTTTTACAAGCTGCTTAGCTCCATCACTACTTACATATTGAGCAAGTAGTAAAGGGATGGGGGGTTGTAGCTGTCTCTTCAAGCAGTTGTCCTCTGTGTCTTGGCATGTTCTACATTTCTTAAAGTATTTCCCTCATGTTGGAGATGGAATTTACATTTTTTGCAACTTTTTCTGAGAATGTGAAACATGATTTTATGAACTTTAGGAAACAGCACCCAGTAGGGAAGGAATTTTTCCTCATTAGATTCCTGATTTGTTTTCTGCTACAATGATGAGAGGACAGTGCCCAGCATACATGAAGTGCATCTCTGAAAAACCATCATCACCTTCATTGTCATTCCTCTGAGTGAACTGGACATCTCAGGAACATCACCAGGAATTCCTATTTCATCTATTTTCCTTTTTTTCTCTTGGTCTTACGAGAGATTGGAGGAAAGAGAAGGGGGGGTGTGAATGGAAGAGTGCTGGAGCATCCTGATGGGCCCTGATCACCCACCCTGGTCTCGTGGAAGCTGTCACTGCCCGTGGCAGGCACAAGATGAGGTTTAAGGTCCCTTCCAGCCCAAACCATTCCAGGATTCAGTGATCTCTGCAGTGTTGAACCAGTTCAGTGTGTCCTGACAGATCCTTCTCCAGTGGGGTCATTGATGCTGATGGTCCTTGACCAGAGGATGAGGCGTAAAAGTAGAAAAATGGAGCAATCAGGAAATGTTGTTAATTAGAATTATGAAGAAGGTGGGCTTCTACTGCAGAATTTAAAAAAATTATATTTGTTCTCCTACCCTGACAAAAGTTTGAGGACCAGAGGTATAACTGTTCAGCAAAATTTATTTTTCAAGGAGGACACTCCTTTTGATTTAAAAAAATCAAAACAAAATCTAAAATCTCGTTATGGAGCAGAGTTTCTGAGGTTGGTTGTTGAAGGCCTTTTTGGTCCCAAAATTTCCTGACATGAAGTGTGAATCCTTTCTGTACAATAACATGGAACACAGTTTAAGGGGAAAAAAGGAACACATGCACATACACTTTTTTTCTTTTTTTTTTTTCCTGCCAGCATTCTTGGGTTTGTTATTCAGCCGATGCTGTATTAAATTGGATTTTGTGTCCATCATTATTAAAATGTGAAGTGTGTCGGTCACAAAGCATACATTTCAGGGCAGTTAGCTGAATAATTCTTTTCTTTATTATCCCAAATTACTGCTGAGCTCTGGAGAGGTGAGCAGTTTAGCCAATTATTGCCATTTGAGCTGGATTTGTGGGTGATTAGCTCCTGGTCGAATTCAGTCCTGGCAAGGGCTTTGAAGCCTTTCCTTGTGTGATTTTCACAGCGGTGAGGTAGGAATAGACGAGGCTAATGACAGGAAGGTCGCCTGGGTGAGGTGACCTGTGGGGGGGGGGGCCCGGGTTTAGCAAATAGGGCATCCACAATAACAAGTGTGTCACTAACCCCGCCGTGCATAATCGGAGTTTTATAGGATTGTTGGAGATGCTGACAG